AATTTTCTGCCAAATTAATTGGAAAAAGGACATGATCAACCTGGTGCCATGTAGTGTTGCAATGCATCCTAAATCCTTTCATGTACTGCATGATATCGTCTGATCTATCAATCAAATGATCTTGTTTCCCACCTTTTACAAATTCTTTGAAAAAACTTTGAATGATATTATTAAAAAGAGTATCTGTAGTTGTGACTTTGATTGGCATATTAATTCCATATTTCGCCTTCTTCCTAAGATAGTAGAATATAATATTCAAGTGCTGCAAAAAAGAGAGGAAGAAAATATGACTACGACTAACAATATGAATGAACTACTACAACAACAAAAATAAAAAGCAGTACACATACCGAACTAGAAAGCGGCCTGCCAGAATAGTTTAAGGTATGGAAAAACATCTTATCATCAATCTGTTCAACTCCAAAGTCAAAACAAGGCTCTAGCTTTTGATCAGCAGGTAAATACACTTCCCTGTTTCGTATAAAAGAAGATATGGATAAGAAATATAACAACAAACATTAAGAAAAAATGAAAACAAAAGTACATGGAAACGAATACGCACTCTCCCAATTGCATGTTTGCTTCAACAAAGTTTGAGAAGGCAGTCGTAAGCTTAAAATTAACAGTCTCTGAAATGTCATTTACAAATGGAAATCTTCCTTTGATAACCTTCGAGGATCCCCCAACTGCACTAACACCAGATTGCCAGTCATTCCTATACGGCGACTGTTTTACAACTGCGGGGCGCCTTTTTCGTGTCAAAACTGCAGGAGTAGTTTCAACGTCTGTTTGTATCTGGACAATACTTCTTGATACCGACTGATCAGGTTTAGACTTATTTACAGCACCAGTTGTCAGTTCATTTCCTGATTGATTTACATTACATCTCCCTCCTTGTGTAATGGCAGCAATTTGATCAAGTTGAGAATCAGTATATTCAAAATCAGAATCCAAGTGAAGATCACCCCCGTGTTGACATGGAGCTTAAATTAGAAAATGCTAGTGAAAAATAAATATACAAAGTTAAGAAATTTAGAAAAAAAAGAATGAAAAGTTATATATAGAAGACATTACCAGAAGGCAAATTCACATTACTGCCACCAACATCCACTTGACCAACACCATCAACCCGACATGCTGAACACATAAAAGCATTATCAACATAACTACTTAAATAAAAAATAAAAAACTATCAAGAACCTATCATTTACATACTAACTATAGAATTAGTAATATCAACATCGTACCCTGTGGAGCAGTATTAGACTCAATAACAACATCTGCTCGTGTCTGTACAAGGATTTCTGATGGCAGTGGAGCAGGACCCGACTTTTTAACATCATGAGATGACTGCTTATATGTTGCTTGTTGTGTAATGGCGGTGATTTGATCAATTGCAGATGCAGACAGATCAAAATTAGAATCAAAGCCAAAATCATGCTCATTTACGAAGGGGGCTGAAAAAAGTTTTTTTAAGAAAAGGTTAGTCAATGCACAAATACATAGAGTTAAATAAATAAAAAAAAGAATAAAAAAATTACATGTACAATATTTTACCAGAAGGCAAATCCTCATTAACTACGCCATCACTTGCTGTGATGTTCTTCACATTGACACCAGTGGCACATCCATCTTGACCAACCCCAGCAAAACCAGATACTAAACATATAAAAGTATAAGCAAGAGTACTATTTTCAAAAAACAACAGCAAAAAAAAATCAATCAAATCTGTGATTTACATACTAGAAGGTGCTTTGGGCGTGCTATCTCCAATAACTACAGGATTATTCCCAACGTGGCCACTTTCAAACTGGTCATAATCATTATGCATTTCACGAAAGTCAGGATCATTATACTGTTGCTTATGCTGAAAATGAGAAACTAACAATTTTAGTATTATGTATATTACAAGAATAATATGTGCACTAAATGTAAAGAATGAAATAGTATCCTATAAGCATATATTGCATCTTTGAACAATATACTATAGCATTATATTATATAAAAGATGAATACCGCTGAATTTCCCTCTGGTTTCATTGACTTCATTGACTGCTTACCAATAGCTGCAAGCACCTCCTCAAACTTGTTCTCTACAAAAAGCTTCAAAGCTTGTAACTCCTTCATTATCTCAGCATTGGTAGGTTGGGAATCACCTCCAGTACTTTCAGGCATACTTTGTGTCTTTGGTAATTGAGTGCCAAAAACGTGAAAGCTATCGGGCTGGTTGGGCTGGCTGGGCTGGTTGTCAGTGCACTCAACTTCAATTTCAAAGCTTAGACCACGCACACCAAATTGTTTATTCTCATCATCAGTTGGGATGATGTTCTTTAGCTGCAATTATTAAGCACACTAGTTAGAAATAGAAATGATAATAAAGTATGAAGGAAAAAAGATCCATATCATATGATACCAATATAGTATACATGTATACCAACAGAGTATATCACTGAACTGGGATATAGTATACATGATACCAATATAGTATACATGTATACCAACAGGGTATATCACTAAACTGGGATATTGCTACAACTGTGACTAAACTACTATACCAAAACATTAAGAGAGGCAATAAAACTATGAGAAAATTACCTGCTCGCGTTGCAAGCTACACATTCGCAAAGCAACTCGCTCATTCGGGATTTGACCAATGACTACCCAATTCAAAATTCGTGGAAGTTTGTTTCCAAGATGATCAGCAAAGTGACCATCCAAACTTGGGCAGCATTCATACAACCAAGTCTGTAAAGCCAACGGGAAGCCACCAAGTCTATAAAAAGAAGGCTTATCTTGAAACTTGTTGGAACACGAGTCAATTGTAGCTTTATAAACATCTATACCCCAGGGATAATTATTAAAATCACCGGACTCAACCAAGTCAATGTAAGACCGTGAAATAGCCTTGTTTTGAGTTGAGAAATAAGAAGCTGTTGACAAAATAAAGAACTGCTATCTTCAACGCATCATCATCCGTTTCCCATTTCTTCTTCTTAAAACAGTCTGCTAGTTGGGCAAATGTCACGGATGCAGTCCCAAAATATTTTGAAATCAACCTATTCTCTGCTATACTCTCTATGCTTATATCACCCTTACATTTCAACCCAGTAACAAGTGCAAATCACCCAAGCCAAACCGAAACCTAGAATCATTCACTACAAACCGCATCTCATTTTTCACCTCATGATGTACTTCTCTCATAAGCAAATGGTGCATAACCCGAATCTGCACAATCACTGGTGGCAGATCCAAAAAATAGCCAAAGCATGTTTTCTTAAAAAACGCCGAAGTTG